CCCCCAGCATATTCTTGAGTAACCAGCACTGGCTGCATGCAGTTTTCTTCTCCGGTCTCTTCTAAGCTTCAGTTTCCGTGCACTTCTCATCGTGGGTGGGAGCAATACACAGCGCATGCTCACTGGCACCAACAGGGTCTACAGATATAAGGACTCTGTACATTGAGTTGTAAGAAGCTTAAAGCAACAAACCAAAACCAAACCACTCTGGAACACACATTTTGGCAGCTAAGAAGGTGCATCTCTGCTGGCCTGCAAGAGACTTGAAAGTCATGCCTGCACCCCAATTGTTTACCTGCATTTAACAGTGAAGCTATTTTAGTGCTGTTCCTTTTCTTCTAGGTGATAGGGTGATAGTTTTGCTGTCACTGCTGGTCAGTGAGATCCCTAACTAATCCAGGAGAAGTTACAAAGAGAAAGTAAGACGGGAAGGCCTGAGACTACAGCTGCATCTTCAAGTTCCCTCCCTTTACGCAGTGCAGAAGGGGCCTAAACAAACTGCATTTGTAGTATTTCTCAGCCCCACCTGTCCCAGCTCACCTCTCCTCCAAACCAAAGCCCCACTATCACTTGTTTTTATATGATAGGTCAGACCAGACTAAGCAAGTATCTAAGCTGCAAACAGGAGAGAGACTGAAAGGCTACTTAGGAGCTACTTTTCAGCAATTTGCATATAAGCCAATCTCACTGCAGCACTTGCTATAAAAATCCAGTTCACAGCCCTGCTGTTAGGACTGTGCAACGGCAAACACTCAGCTACAGTTCAGATAAACCCCTCCTACAGAAGACATTTGGCTATCGCATGCAGGGGGTGCAGAACTAAAAATTAGCTGGGGAAGGTGGATGCTTGGGCTGCTTCAGTCCAACAGCTTTGAAAGGGAGCCTTCCACATTACATAGTTTCATATTTTGGTCTTCTCTTCCTGCCTTAGAATCATAGAACAGTTTTGGCTGGAAGAGACCTTCAAGATCATAGAGTCCAACCTTTGTCCTAGCTCTATCAACACCACTAAACCTTGTTAGAGTTTTCCCCACATCCTACAGTTCCACCTGTTGTTGTGCCTGGCAGATGTGGAAGCAGATAAATTCCTACATCACAGCTCCAAGCGATGGAGCACAGCTGCAGCCAGCACTAAGGAGACTGGGAACTTTTCAGCAAAACCAGGGAGCTGTGTGCACACCAAAGCATGTGTGACAGCTGAAGACAATCAAGCTGTTGAATTTCCTCTTTTAGTTTATTTCTTTTATCCCTGTTTCTTTCACTTATTCATATGCTACCATTTTCCTCATTTCAGCACCAAAACCTCCTTCCATGCTTCCAATTTGACTAAATAGTGCTGGGAACTTGGTTCTGTTCCAAGAAGAGCACAGGAAGGCAGGTCCCACCTCACCATTCCCCTGGCTACTGTGAACAAAGAGCAAACTTTGTCAGTTTGACAGTCAGTGAGAGCCTGTAGTGCAGAGTTACTGGAGAAGGCACTGAGGTCCTTTAAAAAAGAAAAAAAAAGAGGTAACCTCTGTAGCTATAGGCCTGCAGCACAACACCTGCAACCCTCTGTCATTGAAAGGAGAGGCTATATGAACTGTATTTGGAGTCATACCCTATCAATTTAATGTGTACATGATATTTAGCTTATGCCTAAATCCCTGAGAGCAGCCGGGGCTTCTCCACCTTCACTCAGTGCTGGCTGAGTCACAGTTGCCTTCTATCACTGCTGCAGCTCCTCACATTGGCTTTGCCACCGTGCAAAAGAAAGGAGCTACAACTCTATCCCCTGCTCTCTTACAGGTCAAGGGGAGCTTACATCACAGGACAGAAGCTTTACGTGTCCTACCTGTACCTGAGGGATCACCTAATACAGATGTATCTAGGTCCCTCTCAGGGCTGCAAGAGGGGGAACAGCTTGAAAACCAAGCAGGTAATGATGCCTAATTCTCTATCTACCCTGAATGTTATCTTGCAGAATTCCCATCTGCAACAAAAAAACCACACTCAAAAAAACAAAACACCTCACTTCCATCATTCGAGGCCCTTGAGATGAGGAATCAAACTTAATTTCTGCTCTACATGCTTTCTACATTTGGAACACAGAGAGCCAAAGCAGGAAGCTCTCCTGAAGTTTGTAAGACCTCAGGCAGCAAAAAGGCTGGACACAGCTGTTGCAGATTGACATTGCTAGGAAGGAAGAGCAGAGCAAGCAGAGCCCAGCCCCAGGCTGCCTGCTTCAACGGCAGCAGGCTAACTACAGGGCCAGTGTTTGGGAGGGGTGCACGTTTATACCTGAAGACTCACTATACTATTCCAGAGCATGCAGTGAAACACCTTCATGTTGCTTCTACAAGGAACCCATGGGAGAGATACAGAACACAGCGTTGCTGGCAATTCCTCCCTCTAATTTGAGCGGTCAGTCATGTGATTTCAAGTAACAACATACATACAACCCTCCCCAAAGAAGGTTTAAGTACAGTTCTTTTGTGATACAGCAGGTCCCTTGCCAGCTGCCTTGGGAATTTTCATGGTAAATGAAGCACACACAACATCTTGTTAACGTCTGTCCTCTTCAGGGAGGGAAGGGGAAAGGCATTTTCAAGGCTGTATGCAAAATACGTTCTTGAATAAAGACAACTTCTCATCCTCCCATGGTTTAATGATTGCTAGAGGGAGATTCTACACTTCTGAAAGGTCAGTATGTCCATACCCAAAATGTTAAGCCAAACAGCAGTACATTCACCTGGTCCTGCTGTAATGAGTGTTCTTCAAAGTCTTCAAACAACTTACTTTCTTCACTTTTTCAAGCAAATTTTCCAGTCAAGCCCTTGTAGGTTGTATCAAGGGTTTTGGTAACAATGCTCATCAGGATTTAGTTTCTAAAAGGACATGTGCTCTTTCTCGGTCAAAGGGAAACTTCATGTTGGTGCAGGGCTGCAAAGACACATCAGCGTTCTCCTTCCCAACCATAATACTTTTTCTTGAAGTCCCAAAGCACCAAAATTCTTCCAAGCAGAAAAGTTACAGAAGGCCAAGCAGTCTCAGTGAAAATCACAGAAAAAGTCACCAGAGCTTTAGGGAGGAGGAAGGGGAAGAAAACGTTTGACTCCCACTTATAAATAACTTAAGACAACCCAAAAATATCTGTACAACCACACATACAAACAAAAATCTCATTCCACAGATGTTGACAGATTCAGCGACCTCTTGGGGGCACAGGTGGAGGATAAAAGCCTTCACAGCTTACAGGCCTATAAAAAGACAGAGAATACAAATGCATTAAAAAAAACCAAAAACAAACAGTAGAGACCAGGGTTCTGGAACAACATTGCATGCAGTAACATGGTAGCCAAGAATACTGTACAAGCAGTAGTCATACAAGGCTATCAGTGATTCAGCAACAAAGCAGATGCTAAGGTGACGGAGCCCTGTTTCTGTCAAAGTTATTTCTTCTGCTCTTCAGCTGCACTAATTCTATTATTTCATGGTATAGTAGCTTTCCCCTGAAAATTAGATGAAGAGCAATAGGAAGAGATCAAAAGATTAAAAATCTTTTTCAAACTAACTACAGATAAATTCCAGGTATGTTCTTGCCAGATCCAAGCCAACATACAGAACTTACTGCACCCACCCATTTCTAATTACTATTTTAACAGTTGGAGAATTGTATTAGCATCTGTACTTAGATAAGCCTCTGGGGCCTGGATTTCATACACTTGCAGTGGTTGGACTAAAGGAATGTTTACAAGTTACCTAAGTTTGTGGTGGTCTGATCAAATCAAGGCAAAACCCCTCAATACCTTTTATAAAACTAGTGCAATTCGTACTTTGAGGCCAATCACACATGTACACAAGTGTGCTTTGAAGATATCTCAAATTTGTAAAAAAGAAAAAACGTCCAAGGGAAGGCCAAAAGGGAATTCCCTCTGCACTACACTTTGTGTGTTCCAAGAGGATCTTCTTAGGAGTATCAGCTACTAAATCTCTGCCAGGGCAGGATGCTACTCCACCTGGGTCAGTCTTATCATGGCAAGCATTGTGTGCTTCACTAGAGCTGCCCCTTGCAGCGTGTGGACCACAGTAACAGCACTGCAACAGGCATGTTACGAACTAGGAAACCAATTCCACCAAGTACTACAGATGAGAAACATGGACCTTACAATTCCTAACTGTGTGCGTTTATAGATAATAGTCTGGCAGATTTTGTTGAAAGACACATTTGCTGCCTACCTTGCTTTCTGCCCAAGACTTTCATAGTGATTCACTGAAAGCTCATGTTTGAGCTGCATTTTAGCTTTACCTGCTTGCACCTCGAGGAGGCACTCTGGGAGGCCTTTCTGGGAAGGGCAGCCTCTCCGCTTGGTGGGCAACTGGGCTGCGGCTTCTAGTTGTTTCTGGGACTTCATTGTCCTACAAAATGAAAAAGAGAGTTTACAGAACAGCAGAATTTGGTTCTTGTTAGCTTCACAACAGAAGTGGCTACATTTTGCCATTTCTGCAAATGCAGTGCTAGCCCTGAGCTCCTTTTCTTTTGCATGAAAACAAAGCCATGTACTTGAGAACAGTGAACCAGTGTATAGCAGAGGTGAGAGCTTACCTCACTGTCCCCTTCCATCCCACTGCTGATACTCAGTACGCTCCGAGTGCTGGAGCGATTACTTGCACTACCTGGAGTGAGTAAACAAGAGAAAACAAAGTGATTATTAAATCCTGGTGATTTAACTGCAAATTGCTAACTCAGGACTCCTTCTAATGTCATCCTTACCTCTTGCACACATCATTTAATGGTTGTTTAGAATAATTTATTTCCACTGTTATTTTTACTGTTCAGGATCCAAACAATGGGATTTCATACAACACATATTACGGGGCCAAACCATTAAATTTTACTTTCTTTCTAGCAGATTTCTGCCCTATCTAGGTCCAGGCTTCTGGTTAAACACTCACAACCATAATCTAACTGAAAGGATACAATGCCAGTATCAGCTGGCAAGCAGGTAAATATTTTCACAAGTGTTGCACACCCAACACTTACGTATATTTATATTATCAGTCCCCGTGACCTTAACAACTGTGAGGAGGTAGATGGCTCTGAGCACTGTCACATATTCATTCCTGGAATAAGTGACTGCTTGAGAGGTTATTGTTCCCACTAGCTGTTCACCATCTCCTCTCAAAACAATCCTTACTCATCACAGGAACGTTTCCTAGTCTATTTCAGATCTAAAAATGACACGTTTGTTCAAACTACCTTCAGCAACCATTTATGCAAACCCATTTAACTTGTATGGACTGCAAGCAGGGAATGTTTTTGCAGTCACTCCATGTCTGAAGTAGACAGCAACTCACAAACATATCCTACACTGCAATGGCTGGTTTCAGACGTAAACACATAATGTTCTATAGGGCCATGCAATACTGAGACATTCAGAAACCTATATGTTGAAATGGAGGCTAGAGGAGTTTTCTCATAATATGCAGTCCCTCCCTAGCCTTGGTGAGGTAGCTCTGATTATCAGCTGGTACATACAGTAGCACTTAAGAGTGCTAAATACTTTTAGGGTCAGTTATCACAATCATACCATGGGAAAGAGAGCCGAGCTGCACACAGTGACCTCTGCCAGCTCGTTAACGTTCTCTCACAACTGCTTATATGCAAGTTACTGGCTCAGTCATCTGCCTCTGGCACCTACTCTGGAAGCGTGACAGCTGTATCTTGCGAAGAGCCACAAAGATGGTAACCTCACCACGATTCAGTTTTCCTTTCAGAAGGCCAAAATAATCTTAATGATTTCTGCAAGAATTGCTCAGGTTGCAGTAACAGCGAGAATGCAGGGATTTAATTTGCACAAATTAAACCTAATAAAAAACAAAGATAACAAAAATGTGCGGACTGTCCAAGTCATTCAAGAGGTCCCACAGTTACCAATGAAAAATTATGTCCTTTATCTACAACAACTGAGGAAACAACATGTAGAGACTGGTTCCCAGCCTGTAGCATAACTTGACCCTTCAGATCAGAAGAGCTGCTGAGAGTCACAGCAAGGGACTTTTTTCTGAGAGCATCTGCCATCTACTTTTAAGAACAGAAGACAGGTGATATGCCTTCCCTGAGAAGGCCCACGGGAATCTTTTGCTCAGCTTTCAGCTTTTCTTTCTCCTTCTGCAGAGATGCAGACATAGAATGCCCAAACCACTTGATGTACTGGGAATTGCTTTTACAGTTTTGAGAAGAGCCAGCCTGAGGCATGCAGGGTTTGCAGTGGTGGTGTCAGTACTGGGATTCAGGAACAGAACTCTTATCCCCTGAGCTGACTCTAGAGTCAGGCTGGGGAAACATTTTCCATCCAGCTTTCCTGTAGAAAGGGTGACACTCAGGGTTTGCTTACTTGTTGTGCTGGATGTGCTTTCTGTTTTCCAGTCTCCTCGCTTTAACTCCTTTTTCGGTGGGAAAATGTTTTTCCTGGGGGTGTATTCATATATTCCACATTCTGGTTTCCCCAAAGTATTGTGAGAGTGTCGAATGGGTACTGTAATTTCCAAATCTGGAAGGGAATATGAGCAGCTCAGAAGGGTTTATGCAAGTATAGCCTCTGAGAGACAGCTTTGCACCCGAGAACAAAGTTAAACACAATCACATAAGGGCGATCACAACTGTATGTGAATGGATCAAGATTCACTCCACAGATGTGGGCATCCTTTCCTCAGACTGGGAAACTGAGGAGTCAAGCAACTCCCTATGTTTTAGCCAACAGGCACATGGATGTGAACATTAAAATGTCACATATCTACAATACACACAGAGACGTTTCTGCCTGAAGAGCCTATTAATAGTCTTAGCTGCTCCATTCCCAGAGAACATCAGAATTGAAGACTGTTACCTGCACTTTTGTCTTTTTTTTGCTTCTCCATTTGCCTCCTGGTTATGCTGTCTCGCAGTCGTTTCAGATTTTCCTAGAAATATCACAAGATATTCTTTTCAGGGCTTTGGACAAAGGAGGATGAGCAGCTTTCTGACAATACCAATATTATACTTAAGCTAACTTTGCAACCAAGTTGTAACAAAGCCTGCTAGACCTGGCTGAAGTCCAATCCATGTCAACAGGTTTTAATCTGTTCCCTTCAGAAATCCATGTGTGCCTTTCAGAAGCCAAGTTTTTTCAGGTGTTCATTATGTAAGTTAAGGTCAAATTCACAGTCACTGGCAGTTGCAGATAAGCAGCACATTTGGTTTAGAACTCCCTCCCATCTTCTGTTTCCACTATGACACTGGCACAGAAACAAGAGCCATTATCAAGTAATTGCACAGTCCTTTCTGTACTAATGAACAGGTAATTCTACCTGTAGGGACAGAGAAGGGTGCCATGCACCCCAGAGTGTGAGGGACAATTCGGAAAGAATTCAGGGTGTCCCCACTGAAGCAAGAGGGGACACCTGGAAATGTAACTGGGAGCAAAGTCTCTTCACCCTTGTGTAGCAGCATACTGCACCTTACAGTAAGGAAACGTGGGGAGGAAAAAAAAAAAAAGACAACTTTTCCGGCAGGGAAATATGTACATTATGTAAGGAAACCCCTGATTAGGTGGAAAAGCAGACGAAGCAATTGCTGCACTATGAGGCAAGATCTGGAGTAGAGACTTTGAAAGTTGCTCATGGGAAGGAGCACAGAGCATTCCACTTCAACTCTGCTACAGATATCTACTAAAGTAGCACTGTGTTCTTTATTGACAGAAGGGATTCTTCTGACTGTTTCTGGGTAGAGAGGACCCTTTCAAGTGAGAATCAAGAGAAAAGTCTTCGCTTTGTTCTGACAGCTCCTAAAACAGCATCATACAGTGGAGACCAGCACCTCAAGTGTGACAACAGACTGCCGCAGCATGGACAAAAGGCTCCAAAAGAAGCAGGTAGCGGTTTTAAAGAGGGAGCCCTACTCTAACTTGAGAATGGAAATTTTAAATTATGACTGCTAGTTCCACCAGTCATTACACCAACATAATGACTCCCTCATTCAGCTAAGCCACCCAAACACTGTGCTTTCACTAATGACTGTTGCCAGACCTTGCCCAGCTGCAAAGAACAGGTAGTCCTGGAGCCATCAAACACCTGGGAAGGGATCAGACTATCTACAAGGTAGGACTTTAAAGTCAACACACAATCTGTGACACTGAGTCTTCACTTATCTGAAACAGATGAGAACTGATAATCACAGAAGTACCCCACCAGCATGCAGGTGCTAGGTGGCCTCTAGAAAGGTAATTTAGCCAACTGGATTTGGCCCAATTCCTAGTGTACAGATCTCCAAAAACTAACAATACCACTGCAAGACAAACAGATCTGTAAAACCTGCCTGCTGCTGCATGGGCACAGCTCCTCCATGTCAGGAGAGAACTCTGCTAGCTGGGGGACTGTGTTAGCAGTCTTCCTGTTCCAACCAGGAAAGAAATGTACCCACACTGAACAGCTTGTGATATATACCTAGAGAGACAGCTGTATTTCTTAACAGTGGAATAAGTCTGTACCTGCTGGAACCGGAATGATTCTGATCTCTTTTTCTGGTTCAGTTGCCACTCTTTAAAATGAAGTACAGCTTCATCAACAGTGAGTATGCCCATTTTCACTTGCTCCTGTAATGTAATCAGCTGCCGTTGACCCGGGGTTTTCATTCCAGCAAATGGATCATATATACTCGATTGAGACAGGTCCCTTACAGGCCTGACTATTGTCTCTGAAGAGAGAACAACACCAAAAATATTATTGAACTTGTGGCATCTGCCGTCCTCACTGAATACAAAGAAACTCAAGCACCCTTGATATAGCAGAGATGCAAAAAAAAAAAAAAAATTTAAAAAAAAAAATCAGTATTACAAACTGTTCCCTAACCAGAAGAATGTTTTGTCCTTATGCCATCCTGCTGTTTGTCAGGGCTAAAAGCCCAGCTGAGAGGTAGCCTTGTTCACAAATATGTACCAGGGATAATTTCTGTTCTTAAAAACATAATTTAAGTGAACAGCACAAAATGTACTCCTTATAGCGCTCTGCTTCCTCACTGCAAAAATATCCCTCTCCTCAGCAATCCACAAAACAGAGCTTTTTGACCTTGGCAGTCACAAAACTAGACTCTTCCTAGGTAATCTGTGCAGTGTAACTCCAGAAACAGCAAGGTGGAAACTCATCCTACTGAAAATGGCTCTTTGTAACTCATTTGCAACATAAAGAGGAGTTCCCAACACATGAGATAAAAGCTCAGATGTGGTTCCTGGCACTCTGATACTGCACAGGATAAGAGGTGAAAGAATAAGGAAATTTTGGAAGTGCAGAGGTGCAGAGATCAATGGCAAGCAGTTCACCAAAGGTTAAATCCCACAAAATAATGATCAACAGTCAGTGGCTATATCCAGAAGATCAAAAGTGGGACATTGACTCTATGAAGTAATACAGGTCACAACATGAAAAAGGACTTCAATGATCATTATGATCCTGACTGAGGATAAGCTCCAAGACAGAGGATATGTACAGTAAGTGACAAAAGGGTAACCCCCTCACACTCTGCAGTTATAAAAAGTTTCCAATGTCACATCAGATCAGAAAGGTTGAGTCATTCATATAGGACTATTATCCCCAGAGCCTTGTAAAACAGACTATTCCATCCCATTTCATACACATGAAGCTACCTCAGCAGACTTGCTTTTGGATTATTGGAAAGATTTTCAGGGTGAACTTCTGACTTACCTTTCTTAACCCTTCCTCTAGGGACATAGAGATTCTCAGGTCTTTGAGCTTTCTGTGCAAAAACTGTAAAACAAACACTCTTTAGGTAGGGAAATGCATCTCATGAAGATGGAAATAGCAAGGATGAATATGGGAAGCATACACAGTCCTGCACTGCATTACAGTTTCTGTTACCCTACAGAGTCCATTGAAGAAAACAAGATAAGGAGTTGTACAGTAGAACTCCCCTTCTATTGACCTCAAAGAATTTAGCTCAGCCACCTCTAAAAGAAATCTGGACATGCTTTCTCCACAGTCCTGTGATGGGCGGGAAGGAAGAGTCACTGAAATTACTTTCCTAGACCTTACTGTAGTTCTTACTAGAAAGTTTATGAAATATTACCAAGATTTCCTGAAGTGCCTAGCAAGCTAAGAGGCACAATTTTCTTCAATTTCAATTAAACCCCACCTCAGAGGGAGGTACTGAGGTATAGAATCATGTCCTATACAAATGCTATTGAATCAATGATACTACTACAGAGCAGCAGTGTCTCAATTTATTAGCTTGATTGTGTCCTTCTAATATCAGAATCTTCCCTGTTTAGTTGGATTTCTTTATACCATTGGCGGGTAATCTGTCATCCCACTGCTTTCAGTAAGAGCAAGCTCAACCTCAGGATACAACATCCCCACATTTTCAGAGTAGGCAGAAGATGAAAAACAGATCTGAAATTGGATCCCAAAGGTAATCCAGCTCCAGAGCCACATAATCCAGGGGTCTCAAAAACATGTAGATTTTCTGGGTGTTTACTCAGCAACTGGAGCCCATGTCAAAGCCATTCTATAGTTGACTAGTCTACAGTTTAGGTCCTGACACCCAACTCACTTTTGGAGATGTACAGCTCATTGTCTGGCTGTGGAGAGCTGGATTCTGGTCTTGGAACAGGAACTGGAGGTCTGCTAGCCACTTCCTGTGGAAAAGTATCTTGTTCCACTGAGTAGTATACATCTTCACCATACCGCTGGTAAACTCCTTCCTCTGAATCTGGCACATCCACGCTACTGCCTACAACAGAGTAGAATTTGTAAGAAAAACAACCTGGACACTTCACTGAATACTAGATCACTCCAGATGCACTATGTACCACATTCTTACCAAGCTGGCCATTTCACAGGCAAAACCATCCAGTTTTGCAGTGACTTTAAGTGCCAAAGCCCTTCAGGACAGGACTTGATACAAGTCATTAACATCTAGTACATGTAAGTGTTTGCCACTAAGCCTGTACCGTATGTTTTGGTGAAGAAACTATAGTGGAAAGTCTCATAACTGCTTTTAAGAACTCAAGGAACAGTTAGTTCAAGTAATTCCAGATAATTAACATATTATAACAGTTATCAAATCAAACATAGCACTGGTTTCCAAAAGCTACTTGTGGTGGCCTTCAAAGTACTACAGATAATTATTCCTTCGTCCAAAATGAGCAACTGCCATCAGCTGACAATATATTTGATTTCAGAACAATGTGGCTCAAGATGGAGCTGAGTACACACGTCCGTGCTTAACAAGCCCAGCTACCATTACACCACCTCATCATCTCCATTCTATTCTCACTCCTAACATGACTGCAAAATCATCAAATGCTGTCACACCTGATTTAAAAGCTAGTTTCCTTCTGTTTGCATGCCAGCAAAAAGAACTAAGAGCCCCTGGACTAACTCTCTGCTCGGTTATCAAGTCACAAGGGAATACCGTAACCACCAGACTGACTCTCCTTTAGCGATGTTGTAACACCTAGTTGAGTCAATGCAACAGGACTGCCAGAGCGTTGGTGCTGGCAGGGAAAACAGAACATGTTAAGAGCCCCGGACTTAACCTTGCTCTGAGTCCAGCTGAGTCACCCACAAAAAGTGAGCCTGCATCCAATGGAACCTGGTGAGTCAGGAAAAGGCTTGGACAACCCTATCACGCTCAGTGGAGACAGTATGGAGCTAAGGTCTGGCTTTGGCCAGAGGGAGCACTGAAGAGGCAGAGTGTAGATCAGGTTTGGGAGCTGGCAGTTCCCTCCCTCTTTCCAGGCTGCTGTTTTCAATGGATGGACTTTTGAATAAAGCATCTACGTTAAAATTCACGACTAGTTTGTGCTGCTCTACTTTATATTCAGCCTCTGCCCATGAGGGGAGCCTGCACCCACATCAGGACATCAGAATTAATTCCCATCACTAAGATAAGGACAAAAGCCAGTCATTCCTGAATAGATACCAGCTGTGTGCTTGCACTCACTGGTAGGCAGCAACTGAACTAGAAGTCACTCCTCTTTGGTGAGAAACTAATCACGTTTGTGAAATCACCTCACAAGATGCTTCTTCTGTTGTGTCTCATTTGTACCCACTAAGGCAAAGCTGTCCATGTCAAACAGTAAGGACTACCTCCTACCCTTAACAGATCAAGGAGCAAGCTCAAGTTCCATTTAATTGCTTTAACTGTGCTACTGCCAACCCTCTCTCCAAACAGTCTCACCTTCTAAAAATTTGCGGAGCATTGAGTCTTTTGTAGTTAGAGAAACTTCATCTCCAGCAACAGGAGTGTCTGGTTTGGACTGAAGCATCTCTACATCTGAAAAAAAAAAATCAGAAAGATGAACCTGTGATTATGCTCTTAAACATGTGGGAAAATGTAATATAATATAATAAAATGATGTGACATTTCTGACTGGACCTTTGGTTTATGGTTAAAATCAAACAGGAAGCCAGGCAACTTACAAGACATTTGCCTCAAAAAAGGCTCGTAAGTTGCTATGTTCAGTCCATTCTGCACCAGTCTCTGCCACCTGCCTGATGCTTACGCTTGAGGGTGACTAACATTGCTTATTGAGAAGTTCTGACAAGTCTCCAAGTAGGCACCGAGGATTAGCTATTATTGAGATTGTGTTGGCCAGGTGAAGGTTTTGGCCTCTGCACCGTGCTCCCAAAAGGCCAAACTGAGTGGAAACTCTGCGACTTAGCAAAACAAGACATTAAGGGCAATTTGCTCATGACACAGAGGATAGTATTTGGTGTGTTTGTTGGATAAAAGTCAAAACAGCTGGCTGAGTTAATTAGTTGGACTGGAAAGCATTTAGAGGGTCAGATGATAATTTAGTATAGAGAAAGGAGTGATGGCAAATAAGATAGTTCGTTAAGTCAGTGTTTTGACATGAAGACTTACAATTGAAAAAAAAAGCGTCAGACTCATTGTAACCCTAAAACTAATCCTAAAACTCAAGTAAAATGTTAGGTAATCCTGCTCCTAATGATATTAAAACCAAGAGTGATATAAAAGAATTGTTGAGGCATATTGTGAAATATCTATTTCTATGTAAACTAGATGGTTTGGGTTACATGACAGAACATGAAATATTTCTCTGTAAATGTCTTTTTAATATTTGCTGACCTTTCTTATTTTTTTCCTGTAAAGCTCAGGAGATTATGAGAAAGTGATAAGAACATGCTAGGAGGATTTTGCTTTGTGAGAATGTTGTGGGCTTTTTTTTTAACCAATAATTGTCAAAGGACCCACTGACAGTCATGCAAATGAACCCAACCTAGCTTTAACCTCACAGGAATACCTTCAGCATAGCCACAGCAATACTGCATGCTGTGTGGACTAACCACACCAGCAGCTTCTCAAGAGCTCTGCAGTCCATGCCAAGTTGCATGCTGCTGGAGCTAATCTGCTTACGAGCTCTGCAGTCCATGCCAAGTTGCATGCTGCTGGAGCTAATCTGCTTACCATCAACCTAATATGAAGTTCACTTGAGTACTGCTGCACTATATGGAAGCAGAGATTTGACATTCAAGCGCCCTACAGAATCAGCACTACAGACCTGTGTTTTTCTGTAGAGTGATTTTTCCACCTTGCAGCCACCTTGGTTATTTTTAACATAGCTTTTAGAAATGAACCTGTAGCAAATACAGGCTCAGAGGAAAGCCACTACTTTATGGACTTGGGGGCAGAACAGAATGTGCCAGGTGTGCAAAGTTCCTTTCATTCTCTGTGGAGGGAACAGTATCTTCCCAGTTCTGGCTGTGTTCTGCAGGATTACTAAACCAGCAGTGCAACAGATACTGCAGGGTTTGTTTTCTATCACATAGTCAATATTGTTAAATTCATCCACTAATTAGTTTTCCTTGGAAGACATGGTTGCCACCTCTCTGCCCTCTTGCACATGGGCCTGTCTTGCATACAGATGAGACCTAACATCTCACCCACATACCAAAACTGGAATTCAAGTTCTCAACTTTGTGGATGACACCTTCTGTTCCACTTGCTGCAAAAACAGGTTAGTGAGACAGAAGCAACAAGACGGTGATGCACACAAACTTTGGGTATCACAGGAAAGGTCCCTGGATTTTCCTGAGGCTATTGGGGAAATTTGGTCTGAAAGGTTAGCGGGAAGAGGGTTAAGTAGTTCCTACATGTCAGACTTCAGTAGCTAAAAGACACTTATTCAAAGAGTTTCAGTTTCCCTTTGCAGGGTCTAAGGCTTCAGAAGAGAGCTCAACTAACCTGCGAACAGACACACACACAGAAGACAAGTTATGTCCTACAGACCCTTCACAACAGCTAAAATATCCATGCGTGGGCACCCTTTAGAAAGTAGTAATGCCCTTCCTCCCCTAAACAGCTGCAAACAATAGATGCCAGGTATTTGTGCACATGAAGCAAGCTACCTCTTTACAGAGACCAGTCCTTTATTATGCAAGACAAAGGCTTCAATGTGTTAGCATAAATCACAACTCAGAACTCTATAAGCAGTTATGTTTTGTGCACAATTCTCTCAGTTTGCTCACAGATGACAAGAAGGCTGCTGTTCTTGCATCAACTAAGGAAAAAAATAACAATCAATGAGGACAGTGTTGAAACTTGGTCTCAAGAGAATAAAAATGGCAGAGGAGGGAGAGGATATGCAATAGAGTAGAATAAGGGCATCACAACTTATTCCTTTGTGAACTAACATCTACTCTTCAGGTGTTGGAGCTCTGCAAATTACAGGACAATATATTTTAGTCAGCTAAAACTCTCTAGGATAAAGGATTAAATGTCGGCATGAAACTCACACTATCTAGGGTCTGAATGGCCACAGAGTTCATAGATATCGAAACGGCACGAAGAGTCTGGACTTGCTTCCACCAGCCTTTGGCCACTGCCACTGTCTGACCTTGGACAGACAAAATACAGCCTAACTCTTTCCTCAAGTAAAACACTGTTAACAACACACACACAAATCAGACAGTTTAATCTTCAGACAAATCAAACAGGTTTTCAGCACTTTCAAGAGTCCTTGCTCTCAGAGCCCCTCCTGTACACAACTCCAGGCTACTCAAAATACTGTTCTGCAAAAATCAGCAGGAGGTGCTGGTGAAAGGAAAGCAGAAAAAGCAAAGCACTTTATCTGATGCTGTAGTTCATACTACCAGACTGATATGACAAAGATAACTCTCCCTTTTGGCTATTCAGCTGCTGTTTATTACAGCGTGTGACTCAGCTAAATGACATTTACCTGCAACCTGCACCAACCCGGAGCATATTCTGGAAAATGATGTTCAACTTTACAGTTATTTGAAAAGTGTAATAAGAGGGAAGTGCTCTTCTGAAGCGGGAACAATTAGATTAATGATAAGAAATTAAATAAGGCAATTCAATCTCATTATTAAAGAACAGCAAACAAGGTAACAGCAGCAGCTAGTAAGTTCCCACTGATTTGGTTAGGAGTACTTTATGATCTACACTGCTCAGGGCATTAAGACCTACCTGGGAAAGAACACTCCCCGCCAGCAGAAGAGGAGGCAGTATTCCGTAGATGACAAACCTTTTCCATTTTTTTAATTCCATCATTTATCTCAAAACTTAAAGGGACAACTAGCAACTCAACACAGGTGTGTGCAACTCTCATGCAGCATCAGTATAAGCAAAACTGGGCCCTTGCACATCTTCTGCACTTTTTTCTGTAGATGTTTTCCCAGGATCAAATACAGCAAGAAAAAAAAAACCCAACACGTAAAAATTTACTGAAAAATCAGAAGTGCAATGAAGAATGCAAGAACTAACAGAACACACTGGCATTCAAGTATTTGCGACTACTTTTAACTCATTACAATGGCTTCAGTCCTGTGTTACCTCATTTTCAAACCAGTTCTTGCCAGACAGATCGACCATGTTGTTGCAGCAATCACCAGATTTAGGATTTTAGGATCCTGCGTGAAAATCCCCTTACTTTTCCCATCTTGATTTGAATATCAAGAATTCTAATTAGTGAATATTAATAGGAGAAACTAATCATTATATTTGGAAAATAAGTCTCAAATGGAATAAATTATCAAATATCAAATAAAATCTGTATTGCCAATGCTGCTAACATACCCCTGTAAAGTCCCAGACCTAAGGTATTCATTAGCCAATAATCTGTTAGTGGTTAGAAACAAGGATAATATGTTATAGTTCAAAATGTCTGCAAGACAGGATTTATTATGGTACCCATTGTGTATAATCCTTGAATCACAACCAAAGCAGGTACGAGCCAAGAGCCTACGAGCCAAGGACACGTTCCTTGACCAAACATGGTCAATTTGAGGAGTGGTCAAGACCTCCAACTCACGGACCACCTACCCAAATTACACCACCTACTCAAAAGAGAACAACAGAAGACTGCAACAGAGGCTAAGCGCTAATTTGCATCAGAAGTGAGAAAAGAAGAACCAATCATGGAGAGAGTGATAATGAATATGCACTGTATAGACTGAATATTTATGAATTTAATACATAAATATTTGTTGATTGCAATGTGCAGGCAGACATCTTTGGGAAGGATCCCACGTCACCGGTGCGCATCGTTATTAAAGGACGTCTCTACTTATCTAACTTCGTGTAGATAAGTTTTTCTTACCACTGCAGATTTGCAACAATGTAGTATCTAACCTTCCTTTGATCAGTCTCTGAAAAACTATGGTGAAAGCAGATCTTGATCACAATAAATGGGCATGCTGCCACAGTATGGCTACACTTAAAATAGCCCAGGTATTGTCCTCTACACCACAGCCATAACTACTCATATAAGGTCTACTCTGACCTGGAGAAAGTACCTCAGGAGAAGTTGATTATGACTCCCTAGGGAGTTTTTTCATCCTCATAAACCTTTAAGTCAGTACAAAAGCGTGAACCTTTATTTGTGACGGCAGTTCTAAACCCGCCAGCACTCCCACTAATTTCAGTGAGGGTTTGCCTGTGTGCTGGTATTCTAAATAAAACTGAAACACCTTCACTTTGAGAGAACTGACCTAAGTGTCGAGCATTGTGCCAATTTAACCTTACCTCTTACAATACTGGTAGATTTTAAGCACCGTTCAGACAAGCAATAAATATTCTTCAGGCAAAGACTAACAGACTACATAAGAAAAACAGAGTTTTTCAGCAAAACACTCCTGAGTGGAAGGTAACAGAGATTTGTGTGCAGGAGTAGTATAGTAGGAGAACTCCAGAAGAAGCAGGAAACACACTTGCATTCTTTGCTGAGGTATTACAGATAAGCCATATACAGCATCTCACCAATGAGGAAAACATTTTAAAATGCAGACTTCATTCAGCTCTGCTTTTCAGTAAAGGAATCGTAAGTACCTACTTTAGGGACAGCTTGGGTTTTTACCTTTCTAGTCCTACTAACCCTGCAGAGCCTGCACATTTGCACACCAGAACTTTCTGGTGCTGATCCCAGAGACCTCTGCCACCCTGCTGATGTGGCTGTGCTTGCAGAAGCTTCCCCTAAAGCTGGGGACATATGCCTGCTGGGCCTTTGCTACTGAGGAGACTTAAGGAAAGCAGCCTGACTTAAGCTTCAAATGCACCTTTCCCAACCCATGGCAACCCTTCCTAGCTCTCCATCTCCATGCCTGTCAGCCAAGCAGGCTCTGTTTCATGTATATATCCAAAACATCAGCCAAACTCCCTCCTGAGATCTGTTAATCACAGCAAATGAGAGCAGGAAAACCTGTGTACTTGAACTGTTTAACTTAATGTGGCTTGACAGAAACAGGCAAGGGGACAAGCACACAATCAGACTGAGGGAGGTGGTGATCTTCAGCAGGGAAGAAGAAACGAGTGCCTTAAACAATTAATTCTTCCACCAACAGTCTGCAGGACTGGCAAACAGTTTTCTTGACAGAAAGCAATTCTGATCTAAATCTGAAGCAATATGAGAATATTTTCAGAGAGGCTTTTCAGAGTCCAGTTCAAAAGCGGTAAATTACAGGGAGCTTGACTTGCATCCACGAAAGAAAGGAATATCCCCTGCATAGTTTCTAGGAGACCTGGACATTTCAGAGGTTGAAAACGACAAGTTGGGCTTACTGGTTTTAAGCACATTTCTTCCTCTTCCGCATACTTAATCAACCCCATTCAGCAGTGCACTGATTGCAGGCAGAGCTTCCAAACATCTAGAAACTCTCACCCCCATTACTGCAAACAACAGCAGCTTTGTTCTTTAGGAGTCCAACCGGCCTTACTGCTTATCTCCATCTGAAAGCAGAATAATCCTGGTTTTGATAGCAAAACTATCCTTGCAGCGGCCAAACAAAACTTTGCAAAGAGTTTATGATTTCAGGTAGAGAACTGACAAAGTCTTCTGGTCTCCATAATCAACGAAAATGTGCTTTATAATATCGTTTAATCTAAAAGAGGAAAAAAACAGCCCAGGACAGGTATAGTCTATAAGCAAAGGTGTTTCAGTAACCAAGCTTTTCCCCTGCGGCAGCACACTTAAAACTGCAGAAACACCAGCTGTCTTTACACAGGTACTTAAACTATAATAAGCTAGATCCTCTACTCATGATGAGTATCATAAAAATATATCAATGGAACGAAGCCAGACCAAATAGGCAGATAAGTAAGAACAGCAAATTTACAGTTGCTTAACATAGGTACTTAACTTGGTATTTGCAATCAGCCTCACTGAATATTACTGGAATGGTGAAAAAGCTAAACATCTCCATATTTATCAGAATTAGCTCTGTGTTTTTAGCAATAAACCACGTGGATTAGAGTAATGATTTTTCAATTATCATTTCAGTACACGTATTTCTAAACGTTCGCTTTCTTTTGTTCTCAAGCTGTTGAAGTAGAAGCTCAGCTCTTGTTTTTCAGTTTCCCAGTTGTCAGTAAAATCACATCTTACAGACACTGGTGGAAAAGAACACTATGTAAGTCAGTATCCCTACCTCCCTGGATCTCAGGAGGGAGAAGCAGGACATGGTAGAAAATCTGCTCTCTTCCAAATGCTAATTCACTTGCTCAGGGTTCAGGGAGTCCTCAAAGCACTGAGGAAATAGCTCTTGATCTTGTACACTGGCAATCAAATAAATGTTTAGAGCAATTTTATCAGCCAGCCAGCATCAGAACTGGAGCATGGTTTCCATGTGCTGAGAGCATAAAAGCTACAACCAGCCCTTACTCTGAAACTCAACTGAGATGTTACTCTGTACAAGAGAGACAGATCAGATTAGGCCTCTTGGACGGGGGCTCTGAGCAACCTGATCTAGTTGAAGATGTCTCTGCTCATTGCAGGGGGGTTGGACTAGATGACCTTTAGAGGTCCCTTCCAACCCAAACCATCCTACGATTCTGTGATTCTATGGATATACATACAAAGATCTTCTGAGGCACCAGGAACAAATCCAGCCATGGATTCATAAAGCTCTTCATCAGAGCCAGGATTCAAGGAACATTTCATTAACAGATCAGTGGACAGATGAGCCATGGACTCATAAACAGATTCATCCTCCTCGCCTTGCATCAGTTCTTCCTTAATGTGACTCTTCAGCATATCTGCAGTTTCCTGGAGAGAAAGGAGGGCAAGAAAAAAAAAGTATGTTCAAGTCTTATTTAAATAAAGAATTTGGAGAATCAAAGCAAGCAAAAGATACCTCACTCTCCCATCACTGATAGAAAAATCCTTCTAAAAGCAGCCCATTGTCAAAGACTAAGGCTTCTCAAATGAATTAAATCCTCACTACAGCAGTCTGGGCCCAGCCTTCAAGATCTATGTTGTAATCATAGGTAACGAAGGTAAAACAAGCTGGTGCTGACAAATCCTGAATAGCCATTACAGTCTCTCACCCCTCAATTTCATGTCCTATCCGATGTCTGTAAACTCCTAGAACATAATTGAAGCTCATTCTAAAAATACAAATGCCTGTCAAAGGCTATTTTGGTGTAAGCATAGCTGACCGTAAGGGGGAAAGCTTGCCACATGTGGAGCACTTATAAGAGTAAAGTTTTAGCTTTGGTGTAGATTCAGTTTCACTTTCTTGGCATAAGCAGCAGCACGTGAAACCCAGAGTGGCAGTACACAGACCCTTTTCTGTGAGATTAACAGGAAACCTCACAGCAGGCAACTGTTGATGTAATACAGGCAACTTTTGATTCACAGGACAGCAGAACCCTTTCTCATGTATTTGCAACATGGGGTGGAGGGGTGGGGGTGTGGGCAGTGAAGATCTTCCCCAAATCATGCCAAGGAGCAAAATGTAAAGATTCATCCCAGCCTCCTCCCCAAGTTCCAACTACGTCACAAGTACAACCATCTTAACTGGTTGCAGTACTACAACATACTCTTCCATCCACAACCGCCACCTCATGGGCCTTCAATCCACAGGGCATGTGTGTCAAAACTGTCTACACATGCTTTCCCCCACAGTCAAAATGGGTCAGGCAGGTAGCTCATGTGATACTTTAGGCAGGTGCAGAGGAACTTTTTCCAGAGAGAAAATTAGGTGAGTAAAGTGGTTTACTGGGATTTTCAGCTACCCATACTAGTAGTGTTTCTAGTCACTACCTTGCAGTGGACACACTGGTGCACATCATTTGCATGCTCTGGCACTAAGCTGCACACAGAGCTTGATGATCAGTAAGCAGGACCTACTCTTAACACAGGTCTGTCACTGTGCTGAGCAGAGACATGGGAGGAGCACAGTAATGCAGTAAGAGGTTGGAAGGGCTTCCTAAGCATCTCTCACTTTTACCCTAATGCAAAGATTTTAATCACACAATTTACAGCTTCTGCATCCATCCTGATCTCAGAACAGGGAATGACCTTTATTTAGCACTAATGTACAACCCTAAATTCACGCTTATGTCAAGAAGCAAGCCCCAAGCATAAGAACCACCCATGCCTCCTAACACAACTACTGTAACTGGCTGGCAAAACCACACTAAAGCTGGCAGATCTATCAAGTATCATTCAGACAACTGTTAGGGACAATTATGCACAATTTTTCAACTGCAAGCAAAGGCAAACAAAATCTGCTCAAGAATTCATGTGATCTGAGTCAAGGAGCTGCTTGTTATTTTGAAGCATACAGGCTGGAAACCACTCAAATAGAAAAGAAACGATAAACCCCAAGCACACCAAAGGAACCCACAGAAACAATTGCCTGGTACAGCTGGAGTCAAGTCCGTGTCATAATCCAGAAAAATCAGAGTGCTGTTTCCTGGGGATGAGGTTAGCTCAAAGAGAACTGAATCGTGAATTTGGCTTCCAGAGAGAACAAGTAGGGAACGGATAGCTGTCCTAACACAGGAAGAAACTGATTTCAAGTGGAGCAGGTAGACTACACAGATCAGCTGTGAACGAGGTAATAAGCAATCCAGACTGTACTATGACTAATCAGAGAGCACCTCAGATTGTACCTTTCCAAACATATTCTGTTCCCATATTATTCCCTAAAGTAAGTGGGATGAAAGGGATGTGGTTTTCCCAAGATCAGACGTTAGAAGAGTATACCAGGCACCAACCACATCCCTGCAGAAACTTCATTAGATGGATGGATAATAAGGAAGCCCAGCACGGCAGTCTCTGCTTCCATCCTACTTGCTCTGTGCAAAAGCTTCAAGAACTTCCCCAGCTCCAGAGGTACACTCAAGCCCCCCGCCTGGAAGCTTTCAGTGTGTCTGAATGTCTGTCTTCTACATCCTACCCACCACACCCTTTATTTCTCACTCTGGCTCCCACAACACCAAGTGCCAAGCTTGGTGCCACTGCCCACACCAGCTGTGGGACAATGCAGAAAGACTGCTCCTTCCTCTTACCACATATTCATCAATGAATTGGCGGAGGTCCTTAAAACCATGCTTTTCTGCTATGGTGTTTGGATAGTGGCCATACTTGTTGGCTACGCTGTAGGCCTGCAATGCTCCAGGGCACGTAAGCAGCAAGGCGGTGAGGTTCTTCAGCCCGTATCTTGCAGAAAAGTGAAGCAGTGTTGGCAACTCCTCATCCCTCTGATCTGTGAGAACAGCAGCCTGTTAGAATCTAAGTTTCTCTCTAGCAGCAACAGGGCCAGTAGGTGAGAAACAAAATTCCTAGTGAACACACAGACCAAAGCAGGTGTGAAAGCCCTGAAAAGTATATACACAGTTTCAAAATGAAGCTAACTCTGCACAAATTAACTGAGGTATCTAGCATCCATGCTTAAGTCCTATGACCTTTAGAGGGGAATCTGGCACTGTAATAGCTTAATGCATGTAGGATCACAGGTTTGCAAGGACCTCTTAGATCATGATTCCAGCAAGATCAGCTGCTATAAGGCAACCATGTCATGGTGCCACACCAAACCAACTGCTGAGTGCCCACTGTGCACCTTAGAGCAGAGTCATGGGGTTGGGGGAAAAGGACTGCGCTGGGGAGAAATGCCACATGGGACTAGGAGAAGAACAAGGGAGAAAATATGGGAGACATTTTGGGGAGCATCATCTTTTCACTTTGGTTGTGTTTGAAGCTGTCTGCATAGCTGTATCTGTCGCAGTGCAAGGAAGAAAGACTGATGAATGTAACAAAAAAAGGGTCACCCGTACCAAATGGCAATCCCCCTTCCATAGGCATCTTCAGAAATCTAGCTTCCTGGCTGAGATCAAATATTTTTGAGACAGCCTGTGCAGGTACCACATGCTGCAGTGTTAAGGCGCGCCAAGGTAAAACAACTGATCAAGATCAATTTTAAAAAGAAACAAAAAAATGTTTCAACTTACTTGTTGTCATATCTTCTTCTTCCAGCTGGTTGATTCCAAATAGGTGTAAGCCACTGGCAGGAATGTTCTTCTTGAGTGACTCAGTCAACAGTTTGTCCAGTGCTTCTATGCTGTATGGCACGATTTTAAAGGCCTAGAGATAAATGGAAAGTGATTTTGTTTGGAGGAGTCTGGAGATTCGGTTAGGGTGAGATTTATAAGGTGTTTCTTTATCTAGCACATAACAGAACAGTAGGTATAAACACTGAAGGTAGCAAAACATCAAGCAAAGAATATGAATAGCCTCCTGGTCCAGAAACACAGTATCATTAATCTGAGCAGATGAGAACCGTACACTCCACAACAAGACAGAGTACAATGAGAAAATCATTCATGCAATTTGAAGTACAGAAAACTGTTACTTCCTACTTCCTTGCCAGGTATAATCTTACTTCTGAAACTGTTCCAATGAAGTGTCACTCCTGCTCTAAGTATGAACTCGTCCATTTTTAACTGCTCTGGTGTACACTCTGGGTTTGGGTTTTGGACTGGTTTTTAGCCAAAGACTGGGAAGTATGCCTGTTCCCCAAGTAGAGACACAGCCTAGTACCTACCATTCCACAACTTAAACTAAAAAGAAAGGGA